ATAAACTTCTGGACCTTTTCTGGCCTTATGCTGCAAGAAACTGGTGGCCTTCTGAAGCTGCCAGGTTCTGCTCACTGTCCTTGTTGGACTTTCTTTGGAGTCCTGTAGTCCTGTCCTTAAGAGGATGCTGAATCAGGTCTTTACTGGACTTGAGGGAGTTTTAAAGCTCTTCAACGCTGAGTCAAAACCCATTTGAACTTCATCTGGAATTCTTCAGGAACGGCCGGATAATCTATGGAGGGTTTTTTTTTTTTTTCAATCCTGTAACTGCCACATACAAAGCCAAACTTTTGCTGGACTTCTGGGCTTCTTTTGAAGCTTCCACATACTGAGCCAGGTCCCCACTGAACCTCTGCTGGAGTCCTTCAGAAGCTGCTGGAGGCTGAACCTTGAACCTGATGAACTTTCTAAAACATATCTGGTCTATTTTCTATCTACTGTATACATAGATGGATGGATTGATGTATTGATATATTGATGTGAAGATAGATAGATAGATAGAAAAATGGATGGATAGATAGATAGATAGATAGATAGATAGATAGATAGATAGATAGATAGATAAATAGATAGATAGATAGATAGATAGATAGATAGATAGATAGATAGATAGATAGATAGATAGATGGATCTTTGTCTGATGGAGATGCAGAAGACTTTATAAAGAAGGACAGAAAAAAGTCAAAAAATGTCTTATTTTGGAAAAATTGTACATTTCCAAAATAACACGTTCCTAGGATTCATCATTGAGCAGTTGGAAAACTAAACAAAGAATTGGATGCAATGCTTAGGTTTTCCCCATTTGACCCCAGACATTCTTCACATATGGGCTGCAGTCAGCACACATAAGCATAATTACATGTGCGTCTTTAGAGTGACGTAGATATGTTTTAATAGTTCACTTTAAATGTTGTTTTTCCCACTCCATCGCTAAAACACACACACACAGATACAATGTATGGGGAGATAATAATGCTTTGCAGGGGCTACATTAGAGTTAGCCAAAGATCTGTCTGGAAAAAGGATTCATGAACACACATATACACGCATAAAGAGAGACAGGGAGAGAGAGAGAGAGAGAGAGAGAGCTGTATAGCGTGACACATTAATGTGCCATTAAATATCAAGATCATTTACACTGATGAGGCCCAGTGTGAAGAGAAGTCCAAACTTTCCAGCAATTATTCTCCAATCTGTCCACTGTTGGGAGGACAGGACATGAGAAGAGGAGAAAGTGGGACAAAAAAGAGGAGAGAAACGCCCATTAAGACACAGGGACTGCGACACAGATGCAAACCTGGGAATGGACACAGTCACAAAGAAGAGCTTCACTGTGTAGGTGTGTTTTCTCCAGATACTTCAGTCTTTCCCACAGTCAGAGACATGCAGGATTTGATCGCTCCAAACTGACCATGAGTACGAGCACGAGCCTGAATGATTATTTAGCCATGTGATGAAGGCAGACTGTCCAGGTTGTACCTTGTCCTTGATGACCAGAGGGATGGACGGACGACCCTGAACAGCATAACGCGGTGGGAGACATGTTTTGTATTGACTGAATGAATAATCTGAAACAAACTAAAAACTCCTGCTTTAGAACCATTAGCGGTCACAATAAAAAGAAGAAAGGAAGAACAAAAACAAAAAGGGACTGGAAATAAGTAACAAATGTATGTGTAGTATGTGGTGTAAAAACTCCAGCAACCAGGTCTGTTCTGTACACCAGAGAGAACGAGAACTGAAAAAAAAAAAAAAAAAACGAAGAATAAAAGTCATGAATCAAGAGTTCCCAAGCAAGATTTCAAACCCTCAACCTCAAGATGCTAATGACATGCGTCGTCAGAGCGTGGTTTTGAACTCACATAATAGAAGGTTTGACTCAGGAAAAATGAAAAAAGATGATTCTCCGTTTTTTCATTTTTTTTTCCTTTTTGTGGTTATACTTTTTTGTTAGTATTTGTTTGCTGACTCCTTCAAAGACAGGACTTTTCAACTGACCGCTGATTTTTCTAAACGTATCATTTAGAGTCATGGAAGAGATTTCTTTTTTGTTATTTTTGTAACCATCCTGCTATTTAACAGTCTTGTTTAGAACATTTGAAATCGAATAAATAAAAGTAAGTTGGATTAACATAAATGATTTGTGACTGAGTCAACTTTCCATTGTGGGATTATTACTTACAAACAATAAATCAACACAAGTGTCATGCGGTTTTTGAGGTTAAAAATGATTATTAATGTTTTCTTATAGCAGCACAATGTTAATGGAACAGAACCCAACAACATTTTAGTGGCCATTTAGTGGGGTCACATTAGGAACACTAACTTTACTTACTAAAAAAAAAAAAGGATTCAACGTTTTAATTAATTGTCCAAAATACGGCTCTATGGTCAAACGAGGGACAAGGGTAGGTTTACAGTGGTCAGAAATGTGTTTAAATGGCAAGTCAGAAGAATTTTTATGCTAATGTTAAATGATTCAGGTTTTATTTGATCATTTCCCTCTGACTTTCAGTTTTATCATTTAGCAACGTTTACATCCTTTAGCAACATTTGCTGGATTAGAAACATTAACTCGTTCTTTTCTTTTGGCGCTCAAGGAAGTTGTGGTTTTTATTAGTCATCATTCAATAGCTATACCTAACCTTTTACCTAACCATTTGATTCTATTAGGACATTTTTTAAACATAGTTCTCTTATACATATATATATATATATGAATATATATATATATATGAATATATATATATATATATGAATATATATATATATATATTCATATATATATATATATGAATATATATATATATATATGAATATATATATATATATATATGAATATATATATATATATTCATATATATATATATATATTCATATATATATATATATGAATATATATATATATATAGTGTGTGTCTATGTATGTATTAGGTTTCAGCAGTTTTGGACATACTTTGAGTCACACATAAGGATTTACTACACGATTGTCTGTTATTGATGTTTTTATGGATTTCTTCTATGATCTATCTATTTATTTATTTATTTTTTATTTTTCCTATTTCCTTAAACAGTCAACAAGAGGCGTATGTTTTCCTCCAGACCTTTCCTCCTGTTCACCAATGTAAACTGTAAATGCTCTGTTGGTCTGTTTCTCCCAGGGTAATTAGTTTAATTACTCTCACCTGTCACCTGTGCTTCTCCACTGTTTAGTGTCAAACAAACCTCACTCACTGTCTTTGCTGTATCACTTTACTGATTTCAACCGTGATGAAGAACAGCAGGTATGTTTCCCTTTGACTTTTCCTCACGTGTTTCCTTGTGTTCCCTCCAGTCTCCAGTGTTCCAGCCTGGTCCTCTGTGATTATTTACTCGTTTAGTTTTTGTCTGTTTTCCTGCCTGTTCTGAGTTATTTATAAATCGCTGCACCTAATTCCTTCTGTGTTGTGTAGTATTTGGGCCCTGCCTGCAGCCCAGTACATAACATTTTGATTACGCAGAAAGGAATTCTTAGGTTATGACAAAAAAAAAAAAAAAAAAAGCAGTGAGAGCTGTGAAAATCCATTTCCATCAAGTAGACAAGTGTCCCAATTCCTGCAGACCTGACACAGCCCCCCCCCCTTTGTTGCATATTCCGGAAATGTTCCTGCTGTGTGCAGCACGTGTGACCCAGACAGTCTCCTGCTGTGTTTTTAAGAATGTGAAAGGTAAAATCAGGAAAATGTCTTGACCCCATTTTTCTGTTCATCCTTAAAGGAGACGAATAAACTAAAAGAGTGTAAAGCAGTGACACGTCACACAGTGAAGTGAGTCTGTCTCTGAGAGGTGGGGGACGAAGACATGATCCCTTTAATGATCAATGTGTGTGATGTAAAGCATATATTATTATCATTTCCAACTTTGGGAATGATAATGGGAATGATAAATTCCCAAGTGGGAATTTTCAAGCACCACTTCATCCTGTCACTGCAATGTAAATGTTGAATTACAGCTCAGATGAATTGAACACCAAGTAACGACACAAAATGCAAAGGTTAAAAAGAGAAAATAAAAATGCATTTGTACCACCCCTTGAACCTGTCCACCGGTGGGGCCCGCCCCACACTTTGAGAAGCACTGACCTACAGCAATAATGGTTGTTGCTCAGGTTTTCATTCTCAGTGTTTCTGCTCTGGGACACTTTCTTCCTAATAATTATACAGTTTTTACCATGGAACTCATGTCCGTGAATGTTGAAACCCTTCCTAAATTATCCAGACACTACACAGTTTCAGTGTTCCAAGTAAAAATTACATTTCGGTGGAACATTGTTCCTGTGAATGTACATGCTGGTAGCTGTTGGACACTAATTATTAACACCACTACTAAAAATTTGACACGTAACTGCCCGGGAGCAGAGGTTTTACACGGCGCGTCTCTGGACTGATGAGAACATCCAGGTGCAGAAATTTCTTCTGCTCCACTGCTCCTTTTTTTGCTCCTTTTGCACAGGTGGCTGGAAGAGAAACCTTAAAGAAAGTCTGCAGGGAATTAGTCACTTGGGAATTTTATTCCAACAGGGCAATACATTCTTTAAGAAATAATAACACTACCACTGCTGCAAAGGAACTGGTGGGGTGAAACAGTTTGATTATTTCATCCTTATGAAGCAAATGTAAATGAAAATAATTATTAAAAAATGAACTTTCATCACTGTTGTGTCATTGAGGTTTTCTTCATGTTAAAAATCATACATTTTCTGTTCTATAGATGAAGAAAGAATTAAAAACGTTCAAAATAAAACGATGTCTTATGTCGATGACCTCTGTACCTGCAGTCAGTTTGGGCGAGATAATGGCAGTTCTTCACTCGGTCAATAGAGGGCAGCAGCGACAACGCAACATGGAGCAGAAGTCTCCTCTCCACTGCTGGAAGTCTGACCTGGAGGAAATGTTTGGAAATCTGAGACAGACGAGCAGGAACATTAACAGCAGTAGTAAGGTAGGAAAATAATTCGATATTTTTCTCTTTTTTCCACTTTTGGCACTTGCTTCATCCAGTTTGTAGTTTGTGTCATGTGCCAAAGGAAAAAAAAAAACATGTCTGTGAGTCTATACAAAGCATAAGGAGTGCAGCTCAGACTGAACATCTGCATTTTGGTGTCACCCTCTGGCTGTTGAATCATTAATCAATGAGTTCGCTTCCCAAAAATGGCTCCTGGCTCTGACGAAAATGAATGAACCCTGTGCAGATCATTACCATGATAAATGGGAGCTATAATAACATAGGAAAAGCTGCCACAACTGGAAAAAAGGTGTCCAGAAATAAAGGCAGTTCTGGGTGACCTTCCGAGTTTGCAGTTTTATTCTCGTCCATGTTTGGAAGACATAAAGTTCATAAAGACATTGTCTCTGCTGCTGTGGTGAGATAAGGGACAAGTGAAAGTTTGGAGCGCTTGCTCACTTTTCTGGTGACATCAACAGAGGGAGAGAGAGGGAGGGAGTGAGGGAGAGGGAGGTTTTTTTTTGAGTGAGAAACCAAAATCTGCCTCTCGCACAACCTCCTGGTTCACCAGTCTGTGTTGCGCCTCTGCTCTCAACTTTTTTTTTTTCTTTTTTCTTCCCTAATTCCAACTCCTCTGAAACTTTCACTTTTTGGAAGGGGATGTTCCCAGGAAGGAGGTTACAGCCCAGCTGAGCTCCTCTTTCTTCACCTTGGGAACTCTGCGGAGAACTTCTTGTGAATGGGGCGCATTTGACTTTTTACGCATCCAGCTGAGTGACGCACGCTCGGATGCTTTGGTAGAAAAACCGTGCCGTTTGCAACAGTCGCATCCCAGATTATTAATGTATGTCCTCTGCTTCAAGGGCATTGGAGTGTTTTAAGGAGCGTCTGACGGTTTTTGGTCTCCTAGGAGAAAGTTTTGGAGAACTTTATCCACCAACACCTTTTGGAGTTTTGAGGTGGAATCCCTGCTTTCACATCTTTGCAACTCCTGATCCACGGATATTTACATCATCTTTGTCTGGGAGTGCTTGCAGTGGATATGATGTCTGTGAGCGGACCGGGGAGTCCGGCTGCGCTCTGCCGGCTCTGGGCTCTGGTTTGGGCGCTGCTGGTGTGCGTCGCGCTGGTGAATGGATGCCCACACAAGTGCAGCTGCTCCGGGTCTCATGTGGACTGTCAGAATCTGGGATTGAAGGCTGTTCCGAAAGGAATACCGAGGAACGCTGAGCGACTGTAAGTGGGCATCGAATCATTATCACTAAGTGACATGTGACCCGTGGATGAGCCTTTACTTTTCCACACAGCAGCCTTTGAAACGTGAATCAAACGGTGTCTGCAGACAGAATAAATGGCATGTTTTGATATTTCACTATCAACAGAAACCTAAACCAAAAGCCTCCATTCACCTGCCTTGAATGAAGTCGACCATAATCCTTTGTGGCGGACGATTACTATTAAGTTATCATTTTACGTTTGGTGTGATAAAGTTGAAAGAAATGTCAGCTCAGAGCTGCAGGCAGTGAGCGCTACAAAGAAAAGAGCTCGTTTTTTATTTTCAAGACAACGTTCGTCAGTGTCATTCTGGATGAGAAAAAAAGATTTAGTTTCACCAGTAAAACTGGGAATAAAAGCAGAGGAACTTATATAAACTTATACTTTTAAACACAAACTATAACTCTTACAAATTGCATAAACTTATACTTTTAAACACAAACTATCAAACTATAACTCTTACAAATTGCTTTGGTAACAGACCGTTACTATATATATATATATATATATATATACATAAAGTTTAACATGTGGTGCATTTTGATGTAGTGGTAACTTATAATTGTCTAATTCTGTTTTTATAGTATCTTGAGGGAAATAAAAGTTTTTTTTCCTCTTGTTTGCTTTTTTTGACCAACTTGTCAAAAACAAATTAAAAGCAGTTAAATAGGTAAATAACTACTTTAGAGGGGTCAGTTTTGCCTCAGCTGGGGGTAGAGGTACGCAGTGCTAGGGTATTTGTCGGTCTGATTCCAGCTAATCCCCAAGTACAGGTTGTGATGCATTGCAAAAGAGAATTTTGATGTAAAATCTCTGCTGAATCACTGTGTTGACCACAGCTGTGTTGAGTCATGAAGAAACGAGCTCACAGTTGTTCTCCTTTTTATCAAAGCTGAGTTTGTTTTTACACCACATGCATTTTGATTATTTTTTGTTGGCTAATTCTATTAGTAGTCAAGTTGTATTTATTATTATACAGCTGTACTGTGTATTTGGCAAACCTTGGTTGTTTAGTTCAGTCGTAGATTGTCCTTTGGTTCCTTTACCTAATTTCTTCAAGATTAAAATTCAAGTTTCTGGCTTCGTAAAGCTAATGTTTTATGTCTGTTGTCTTTTAGCTAATTGTTGACTTTTGTCGGCTTATACTTTTTTGAAAACCAACTTTTTGACCAATCATTTGACCAATTGTGAGCAAACACATCGCTTATAGATTTGTACTTTTCTAAGTCTCCCTGGACAAAAGCTGCTCCTAGTGGAAAATCTGATGAATTATCAGCAAATCTGATAATTCATCAGTTGGTCTTTACAAAACCTAGGTATATATTTCTTCAAAGAGGGAAAGTACCCTCTATGAAAATCTTCAGAGCAATTTCAGATATTATAGAGGAATTTTGCCCCAGGTTACCAGTGATTTCTGACCCTACCAATGACCCTAAAGAAAGAAGGCAGTTAAGGAAAACAGAGCTCACGTACAGCACATTCTGTTCAAGTACTTGTTAAAGTTAAGGAGAAGTTAAGCTCATTAAATCTTTTTACAACCTTTTGTCCTACCACTGTTTTAACATTTGTTTCAGTGAGTCATGCAGAAAGTCCCTAAGAACGTTTCATGTTTCCTGAACCAAACATTGGCTTACATATATATACACATATAATGATATTCACTCCTAAGGCGGAGAATGGCCTCTGACAGATGTTGCTGCCGCTGCCACCTCTGGCCTGATCTTGACACACTTTTACATCCCTGCAGCCACACACATGCAATCACAAACACACAGACGGACACACCTTTGCTGTGAAGGTATGGAAGCCATTATGCATGACAACACAGCAGCCAAAAGTCCCCGCAGGGGATCAACAACAGACCAGGGCCTGAGACAACAAACACAATCAGTGGGATCCACTGAAGGGTGCCTGTGAGTGTGAGTGTGTGTGTGTGTGTGTGTTAGAGCAGTTTTTGTGTAAATCTAAGAAGTCAAAACTACAGCTATAGATGGATGATTTCTCCCTGAAAATGCACTCTTTTATGACTGTGTTTCTGCTTTCATTTTGCTTGTGCAAAGTCGATTCTGTTCTTTGCCCGGTGTGAACAACAAACACTGCTCTTCTTCCATCCCACCGGGCTGCTGTGGCCTCACAGGATCTGTTGGCGTTGACACAGGAATCCCCACAAGACATTTACACCCAAAGAAAATAAATAATTAGAGCGGGCTGTGATGGCGGGCCAGGATAAGAGGGGAGGTGTGGAGGTCACCCTGCTTCTCTCTGGGTTCCCTGGGGTTTCATATTTTAGGGGAGCAGTTTCTAAAGCCTTCACTTTAGAAAGTGTGTGTTTGTCCTTCCCAAATGTATCCGGATCTTTGTTTCAGCTGTGACTTTGGCCCGGACTTTCTTCTTCTTCTCCTCCACCCGTTTCTCTTCTCCTCTCGCCTTCTTTCATCTCTCCATCTCCCTGCAGATATTTTAAGGGATTTTTTAGATGAGAAACATTAGAATAGAAAGTGATTGCAGATCTAAATGCTACGGCACATGGCTTTTTTTTTTCTTTTTTGGGAAAAAGAGAAATGAGAGTCATTAACACAAGGGACCAAACTCATGTGGATGACAGATTCCAGTAGCCCTGGTTGCCAAGTTTGTTGGCAAAAGTTCCTTTCGACGGCTGATATTTCACAACATGGTCTGGCATGACATTCGTTTTAAACTCTTTACACATTCTTTGTTAATGATTTGCATGGATCTATTAGCAATTGTTAAATGGCCTGTGTTTTGTCACTTTGGCGTAGCTCCTTTTTCTACAATAACAGTTAAAACGACTGATGGAGGAGAAGAGTCTGGACCAGTCGTACGTGATATTGTCTGCCTGAATGATGCTTTTACACTGGTGGATTACAAATGTGGTCTTTGGAAGAGTTTAAAGCTGATCTGTTCTAATTGTCAGCTGAAGTGGTAATTTGTTGTTCAGTCAGAGCCAGCCAGTTCACTCTGTAGCTAGAGATTTTCTTCCCTTTTCCTAAGTTCGCTGATCACACCCCGTGAGTTCTTTTGTTTTTAGACACCTTTAGAATAATGAGTACCAGTATGCAGTATTCCAAGGACATTATACATACTTACATTATATGGAATTTGCTGTTCTCTTATTTTGACTTTTTTTTTTTTTCAAACTGGTGCTGGTACCTTAGTCATTATGGTATTATGTTTATTTATAAGTAGACGACCGGACTGGTGCCTGTTCTTGGCAATGTTTCACCCTCGTCCAAGTATCTTTTGTAGTTCTGATGGACTTGTGACAAAGTTCTGGCATTTTCCAAGTCTTGAACAACAGAAAAAGAGCAATTAGGATGAACAATGCAGTTCATCCAGCTCCAGGATTTTCCTGCAGTCAAGTAAGAACTGAAGAACCATCTTGAATTAGAGGTCAAACCTCTTCAAGGAACCTTGAACCCACTCCTGAACTTCTTGTGTTCTGGCTTTAAGATTTTTCATGTTTTTGTTGAAGTTTAAATTTACAACTTATCCACACTCATCCAACCCATAATCCTATCACACTGATCTTCTTGCTGTTTAATGGGCACAAGTTAAAATAACCTACCACGTTGGTTAGCATAGACCAGGGAACAGGACATGACTTGACCAGGCTAATATTAACTGTATCTGTAAAGAGATTGTCGTCATTGTCAGTTGTATTTCTTAACAACCTTACAGTAACTATGCAGGGATGAATTCAGATAAAGTACAGTTTTCTCACCGCGGGAAAACGATCCAACAACACCCAGGGACACATGCTGTTCAAGTAAAGGCACAATCCCTTCTCTTTTAACTTATCTTCCGTGGAAAATCTTTTTCAGCTACTACTCTGCTCCCTTTATCAGTCCTGAGCCACATGTAGCGAATCAAAGTCATTGAGACTCTATGCAGGTTACTGAAACCAAATGTAGAGAATCACGCTTAAGTGAACAAGTATACGAGATACAGGTCATGGGAAATTCAGTGCAGCAGTTGAAAAAACAGTCAAGGCTTGGTGAATAAATAAGTTAAGGATGCACTAATAGAGAAAACAGAAAACATACACACTGAGAGTTTTCCATGGCTGCCGAGATGGAAGCGATTCAAAATGGAAAATGACTGGCGCTGTAAAGCATGATGCATGGTCATTTAAAAGTTAAGAGGCAGTTCCTACTTATTTTGTTAATTACACACGGCGCATGACTGTGTTCGAGTTCAACCTCTGTTGCTGTTGGAAGCGAACGGGGAGCTTGAATATTCATAGCCACAGTCCACCTGTCATAAGTGCAGAATGAATCTCCTTGAAATCCCCATTTTCTCCACTTTTGTAAACAGAGCATTTGGAAAGGTTAACAAGAGAAAAACAAGCGACGGTCTCAGCTCCTCACTCATCACACACACACACACTGGTGCACAAGTCCCGCAGATTACCTCAGGCCAGTCAGCTTTGTAAAGTCCTTCCTTGGGAGCCACTTGAGACCTCATTTGCATCTAATTTGAGTGGAGGGTTTCTTAGGTGGGGAGTCTTAACAGAATTAACGAGGCAGGCTTAAATGAATTGGAAAACAGGAGCGGCTTTTCTCTGGAGTCCAATTCACACCTGCCCAACGGGGAATGAACACACACACGCACAAACCTGAACACGCTCGAATGTTGGTTGTTTTTTTTTTTTTTTAAAGCTGGAGAGTCCAAACTGTTGCACCATCTGCTGGTTAACAGGTGGGAGTTAATGCTGTAACCTAGACCTGATATATATCTGAATTTGTCCACAATAACATCATGTAGAGATGCCTGGATTTCGCAGCCATTGATAGGAATCAGATGATTTCCATTGTGTTAAATAAGTACTTCTTATCTGCTTGGGTGGTGTATTGGTGAATCAGTGGTAGAAGTCTCACCTGCTACCCGGGAGATGATTTCCATTGTGTTAAATAAGTATCTTATCTTATCTTATCTGCTTG